ACGCTTGAGAAGACTATCGGACACAGTGTTTATGAGTGCGTGCTTGATGGACGCGTTCCACCCGGGCCTACCAGATGATGAGAGCACAGGGCGGTTCAGTAATACAGGATCATTCTCCATCACCCATAAGGCTGTACGGCTCTTTCAACTGCATCATCTACGACCATGTCGCCGTGCTCCCTGAACCCATCCGACGAGTGGACGGGGAGGAGGCTTGGGTAAGGGCCTTGCACAATGTTCCTTCCAAGCAACAGCCGTGGATTCTGCCTGTTCCAAAGCCTGCAGTGCGAACATATATTTGAAAATCGTCATATTTGGACATATGGAATGTGCATATCATACATATATAAATATGTACACACCCACACATGTCTGCGTGTTTATTCGTGCCCATGCGGCTTCAACCAGATAAGACACGCGTTCAGCGATTGCCCGGTAGCCAGGTTCCCTGCGCCCTCTTCGGCCCGACTTGCGACGGTTTCGGGCCCGAATTTGGGGATCAGGGCGTTGCGGGTTGGAAGGATTGGGAAGCTTCGTTTAAAGGTGTTCGCCATCGACATGTGCAAAAGCTGGGTTGCAGGCCGGCAAGGGGTTTTCAGTCGCATGGGTGTTGCTTGATTTTTTTCGGTCGTTTGTATAAACTGTTGGACTGCATGGTGCGTTGAGTCTGCTTCCAACTATCGCTAAGATGTGCCCATGCTGAGGGTTCGATGTCGTCCTGGAGAAGCATCGCATGCCGGAGCTCGAGGATGGGGCCATTCATCTGGCAGATAGCTCCTTTGGATGTCACGACATCCATTGTATCCACCATCTCTTGTGTGAAGCTTCCACTGGTGCGCAAAGCCTTGCCTTTTTTTGGCAGGAGGGCGATTGGATATTGTGGCGCAACATGGGTGCCTACACATCGGCGGTGTCCTGTCTTCGACTTGTGGCGTCTGTCCCTGCCCTTTCTTCTTTAGGCCATGTGGGGTCTGAAGGGAGGAGACGAAGCGTTGGCCGATAGCTTCGATTGAAAAATGACGTCATTGCACTGAAGCCCAGGCCGGGTGCAACTTCAATGGCTTTCCACTGGCGCTTTCGTGGTACTACCGTGCCCCGTCCTGCTTGCGGCTCCGTCACTCTTCGACCTCGAGGTTTTTTCGTGCCCCGTTCCTGCGATGTGCAGAGCCCCAAACCAGCACTCTCAGCTCAATAGCGACAACCATGAGCCAGAAGTGAAATTAACATCGGACATTTGCAGCCCCATTCCCTCCGTCATCGTCACTCAACATCCGAAAGGCCAACATTCGATCACAGACATCATTCTCAGCTTAACCAGCTTTGGTTTGTGGTGCAGCAATCCATGGATTTTCCATGGACAATCCACTAACACGGTGTGGCCAGCACTGCTTAAGATGTTAACTACGACGGGTGGTATGCATGTATTGATTCACTCCAGGCTGGCCTGGGTCCTGCATGTGGCACTTGCGGCCTTAGCGGTGCCGTACCTACAAGCAGCCCTATGGCTCTAGGAGTTATGTGCTCCAACTTGCATTGGGGAAACTCCCGGTTTGGATAAACCGGCACGTTGAAGCGAAAAAAAAATCTGACTGCCCTCGGGCGCGGGCGATCCAATCTGGAGTGTTCCGCATGTGGTAAACAGCCGGCAGCATGGAGAACACAGAGCACGAGCCTGGAACATGTCTGTGCTGCTCTCCTCCCTGTTATGATCTTGTTATGATCTCGTCATGCGAAACTATCAAGTGATAGACATGTTCAACGATATTGTGTAACCTTGTGGACTGGAACACATGTTGCAAAGGTGTTCGATTACACTATCATCACGAAGTGCGACGCAGTTTTGATTTTGCACTGTAGTGCAGGTCTATGGAACCAAATTATGGGAAATGATCGGGTTGCTCCAGTGCAAGAACTGTAAGGAGGGCTTCCCAATTCACTCGACTCGTGAGGTCTAGTGGTAGTTGGGGTACAGTACAGTACATTACAGTACAGTACAAAAGAGCACGGTAGAGTACAGTACGGTACAGTACGGTACGTTACGGTATGGTGTACAGTATAGGGTAGTGTAGTACAGGATCGGATAGGATGGGAGACAGCAGTATACTCTAGAATGGGAAAGTAGAGGACAGGTCAAGATAGTATATGATATTATAGGATAGTATAGGATGGTATAAGAGAGAAGAGTAGAGGAGAGTAGGTAGAGTAGAGCATAGTATAGTACAGCACAGTAGAGTGTAGCATAGTGCATAGTATCGCACAGTATACTCTAGTATAGTATACATTTTGTAGTATGTAGTGTACAGTATCTAATACATAGTACATGTGCAGTTCCTTCAAAAGTATACAGTAGAAAGTGTAACCCATGGTATTCAATAGAGTGTAGTGTATGGTATATAGCACAGCACAGCACAGCACAGC